TCTCTCCCTGCGGTTTACCATTTCCTTGAGTTGATGCGACTTGAGCGTAAGTGCTCAAGGCAGCTGACGGAGTAAACACATGTGTTACGGGTGGTGGTTTTCAGTGACTTCAAGCCCCGCAGGCTGCGCATAGTGGCAGCCAGTAAGGCTAGGGGGGGGATCTCTTCAGGATAAGGCTTACGATGCCTGCAGAAACAGGCAGGTTATTGTCCCTCTGCGTAAGGCTATGGCCTAATTTTGGGTATCCGCAGTCGCCCACTGGATCAAGCGGTCGACCTCCACAGATTACGTTGATTGGGACACGTGTTTCGCATGCCGCCAGATAGGTTACCATGGCGAGCGATCCCTGCCAACACACCAGAGCGTTTTTTGGCTCTAATATCTTTGACTTTCGCGTTTTTCCCAAATTCAGGTGTGCAGATTGAATCAGTAAATTATTATTATCTCATACGTTATCCCATATGTCTGCCGAAGCAGATACCGAGTAGAAAAAAGCCAAGGATGGTCATTTCGAGCAAAAAAATCACGTATAGTCGCATTTTCTTTTTCTCTTGTTGAAGGATCAAAAGCAACGTTATTCATAATTTATGAGATTTCCCAAACATTTTGTATAAATATATCTCCCTTGGACCACTGTAAATGCGCTACCGTACGCTAATTGTTTTACTGGTTCTCTTCTAGAAAAAAAGCATCGAAAATCCCACATAGAGGGGATGAAAAACCAGACTGCTTTGGGTCATAACGGTAGTCAGACAGCCTTAACTTTACAAAATTTCGGGTCTTTTTTCTGGATAGCACAAAAATAGCACGAGAAACGCACGAAAAAGCCTCGATCCCCTACATATTTCGCGGGTACAGTTCACCCCAGACCTGGGTCATTTCAGACTTACGATTTCCACCCTCAACATTTTCATACCATCCAACTGTCCCGCAGTTTAACCCATTATCATAGATGCACATCAACATTGGTTGTAACGGGAAAAAACAGAAATCCGTTTGTGGATATTGACACTTTATTTACAATAAGAATAATAAAGATAGAAAATTACAGAAATTCATCGATTTTTGTGGATGAATCTCTTGAAAATCTTGACTTCCTCCTCCCGACTGCATCCTTCATAATAGCTTTTATACACGGCATCTGAAATGAAAAACAAATAGCCATCATTACGTCGGTTCAGTGTGTATTTATAAGGTTAACTTTATTGTGCCGAATGAAAACTCACCAAGTATTGCGTACGTTACGGGAGAAGATGACAGTTGCGCTCTGCCGTGCATTCCATTCCAGTTCAGATGTCGGCACATCCCTGGAGTGAAAACCCTTCTGATCATTGCTCTGATACACTCGCCAACGTTTTCACCACCGCTAGCTGACATGTAGGTGACCTATGCGAAAATGATATAGCTATGTTTAGTTATGACACTTTAAACACGCCAAGGATTTATAAAATCATCTCGGAAGGTAAATGTTTCAATAATAGTGCATGTAAAGTCTAATCAAGATACTTATAAAGTCACAAGCCGTTTCTGTGTTCTTTAATTCTTCTTCCAGTAGATTGAAGTCATCCGAATTATCTACTGTTCGACTGATTTGAACTGGACAGATTCCCCTTTGCGACAAATCGTGGTACAAGGTGTTGATTTCTGCACGCATTAGATCCAACACATGCAGACTCTTTGTTACCAATGTCAGAATTTTACGGTTGATATCTGCTAGAACAGAAAGACCATTTAGTTAAATTTAGTCTTCCTATTGGCATCATCGGCGTTCGACGGTAGACTGAGCAGTGGAGAATGGGTTAGAATAGTTCTTTCAGACAAGCATGAATGATGTCATTCATTTTTATTACCTTGGCTGTTGGGTGGCTTTCGGCTCTACCCTCGGATCCACGTTCTCCGCGTAATCCTAGTCCACATTTTCCACACGTGAGCTAAAATAATGTGGATTTTGCATTTTTGACGCACCTGGAAGCCACCGTCCATCTGTTAGAGTTGATGATATCGCTGAAAGACGATTTAAGTTGATGATAAACATAGAATGTTTTATAAACTCACCCCGATTTATTTTCGGTGGTCATGTTGTCGGAAGGTCCACAAGATATCGAGCTGTCGCTTCTGGAAACAATGATTTATAAAGTCGGTGGCTAGACTCGCATTCCGGTTGACACATAGGGCTTAGGCATTCTAAAAGAGAGCAATAATTAATGATATGTTCCAATTACGAATAACTGGTACCTGGCACCTGCAGAGCACTCAACGCTTTCCTAGGTGGATACACGTATGTCAACGATTTCGAGTACACAGTTCTGCTTTGCTTGCAGGCTGCGATATCCTTCTCAAAATCTGACGTGTACCGGTGCTCTGGAACAAACGTAATATATAGAAAGCCAATTTACATCTTGCGCTTCTGCACCTGACTCATTGGTACTGTCGCATCCGAAGAAGCAACTTCTTCTTCGGTCTTCAATAGCTCTTCATAATGAAGATCTTTGGCGAGGTTATCTTAAGTGCGAACAAGACCAACAAGTTAAAAGTATTTACCTGTTTACCGGAGAACACGAACTGCGAACACTTGGGAGGTAGGTGGCATTTCTTCTCCCGTCTGCAGCATCTTCCATAAGGTTCTTGTGGAAAGAACCCCCAGAACAAAATTCGTTGGAACCAACGAACCAATTGCGATGTACGGTTGCAATGGATCGATCATCGAACTCAACGACAGAGTACATCTGAAAGTATCTTTACTTTAGTGATTAATAGTCACTTCTCAATGGTGTCGAAAACCGTAAAATACAATATTAGAAATCAAATATGTAATCGACATATATTTGATGAAAGATAACTTCATAAATGTTAATTTCCTTGTACTTCTTCTTTTTCGTATCAGTCCATTATGTCGAAGAATTCCCTGTACTCTGTGCAGTCAAGCTGTGATTAGGGGAAATAATACCTTCATGATGACAATTTCTGCCTTTCATTAAGGAACAACAATCCTCGTCGCAAGTATCTGTAAGAACAGTTCAGTTTGAACAACCATTAACCACGCATATCCGTGCACCGGTTTTGGTTGCTGTCTTTTGGCTGCTCATTTGGATGAAGAATAGCAGAAGAAAGGAAACTTGAGAGTGGAGTCGAATAGAAAATGGAGAATTTCAGTGGTCTAAGGTTGCAAAGAGATTGAGAAGATGCACGAACACCACTGTTTGCGACACCCAGCCATATCACTCTGTGTCTCTAACCATCAGTTACGATCACCCCGAGGTCCCCAACCAGGGAGCCTAGCAGGACCTTTGTGACTTAGTCTCCTAGTTAGGGTTTTCATACCCTCGTGCCAGGTCTCAGCTTGACCACCCTTGGATTTCTTCCATTCGGTATCTGCTTCGGCAAACATCGCTCGCCGTGGTAACCTACCTGTTGACATGCGTACCACGTCCCAACCAACGTAATCTATGGAGGTGGATCACTTGCTCCAGTGAGCGACCGCGGATACTCAAAACTGCGTCTAACCTCAGCATTGCGTTGGATTTACGCCCCACTGCCGTGTGGGTCAGACTTTTGAGTCGAAGACTCCGGTTGGGGTTCCCAAAGAAAAACCCCTTCGTCGGTGTGGGCTACCGCGAAGTATGACATGCCCTAAAGTCTTAGGCACCCATTTGGAAAACGATCCTTCCCATCTGTCTAGTTGTTCTTCTCAACCTCGATTAATCCCAGATGCCTCCTGTTTACGCCACCCACCGCATATCAATCGGCGTTTTACAAACAAGGCCAGACAATCAGAAGATATTGGTCTTTTAAAGCCAAAATTCCCTTTTCACTTAGCCGCGTTCAATGTCCGCACGCTCTGTAAGAACAAGTTGGATACGGTCAAAAGTAACATGAAACATTACCTTCAGATAGACCGTGTGTGCAACAAAGGGTATAACACCAACCCGTTCTTGAGTGGAAGAGCTACACACTTGCACTGTACTTTGTCTTTGGATATCCAGAAACAGTGTTCTTCCGGTTGTATGCATGTAGATATGCACAAACCCATCGACAAAATATCCCTCTAAAAGAACGGGTCGTTGCGCGCATATTGTTTAATGTGTGAAAGACTTGACTTGACATAAAAAATCAGTGCAGGTTAATCATCAACAATGATGGCGTTCTCCGGTCTTCCTTTCGTGAGAACGAAGTTTTCCATATACAGGTTGACTGCTTCATCGTAGTCGCGCGTCTCGTCCCTCTCACCCGTGACCTTATGCAAGTAAATTCCCTCTGACCCCTGACGCGATCTGATTGGATCATATTCCGCGAGCTGCGACGCCCAAAATCTCTTACCCTAAACAAGACTGTCTGATTACCGGCTTGTACTTTTTGTAATGCTCTTGTTGTTAAGTTCAGTCCATCCGAGTGTTGATGACACTCCTGTCACACAGTCGAAGTTCACCGGGCCTGTTTGAGACTCTCGGCTGTAAAAAAGGTGTGGCTTCTCGCTCGGGTTAGCTGAGCAAGCACCAGATCCCTTGTTGTGGCTGAACCATTCGATCGGTCGTGTGATTTTCGGGTCGGCGCAGGAGGAGGATAGGTTCCGAATCCGATGCAGCATGTGTTGGTAGAGAATCACCCCATGGGAATCAGTTGTGGAGCGGTGCGCCATGTGGGAAATTCCGAATGGAAAATGCTTACGCGATTATGAC